ACTGTGGGTCCTAAACCTGTTCAGCCTTCACAAGAGAAGGCTGAGGGGGGACCTGGTGACTGTCTATAAACTCACTAGGGGGGACCAGAAGGGTTTAGGGGAAGCACTGTTTCCCCTAGCGCCCCCTGGCATGACAAGGAACAATGGACACAAATTATTAGAGAGTAGGTTTAGATTAGACATCCGCAAGAACTACTTCACAGTTAGGGCGGCTAGGATCTGGAACCAACTTCCAAGGGAAGTGGTGCTGGCTCCTACCCTGGGGATCTTTAAGAAGAGGCTTGAAGACTACCTAGCTGGACTCATTTGAATCCAGTCTTTTCTCCTGCCCAGGTGGGGGGTCAGACTTGAAGATCTACAAGTTCCCTTCCGACCCTACTTCTATGATTCTATGATTCTATGATTTCCGCAGCATGTTGAAATGGGTCGGAGCAGCCCTGGGCTGACAAGCTGACCCTTCACACCCCCTGCTAGCCAAGGCTGTTCCAACCTGGCTCAACAAGTCGCAGTCCTACACATATATTCAAATTAGATGCCCAGAAGCAATAAACTGTGGTGCAAGATGCACCGGAGTTTATTGCTGCACATTAATAGCACATGTCAAGGTCCCCTTTATGCATATTAGATGTAAACAATAATATAAAAGTTTGGATCCATACAGAAACTTGTCCTAAATAAAAGGTAATTATGTCTGGTTTTGCAGTTCACATTGAACACTATGTAATTGTTGTTGTTTTATTCCCTTTCCTCTCTATGTACTTCTATTGTTTTCCTATATGTTCTTTGACTTTTTGTTTTTCACAACTGCTTTCCATTCCTTTTTAGAAAAACAAGATGCTTTCTTTTATTAACTGCTCCCCTCCCACATACTTGTGTCTCTGATAAACAGAATAGAAACAATAACCACAACTCTGCTCCTAGACTACATACAGACATGCAAAAACCTGAGGCAGAATTGATCTAAGTTACACAGTTTTCTGTAAATGGCAGCATTTAGATCAGTAGTGAACAGGACAAATATTCACTGCTTGGTGAGGGTGGGGGGAATCTTAGACTGGGTTCCACCATTTTTAAACCAATCTATACGTGCCAAACTTCTGTTTTGTTATGTGCAGTTTTGGGTACTGAACTTCTATTCTGTTATAGGTATTAACTGGTTTCTAGTCACTTATATCAGTTAAAGGACAATGTCTGTACCTGGCCCTAAATTACATCAACTACACTGATTTGAGTTGCACCACTCATTTGATCTACAGAATTTACCGTTTTTATGGAGAGAAGCAAAAGCAAACATAAATAGAAGTTTACTTTCATGGATAATAAATATATATAAGTTTACTTTTATATTAAGTACCTTTTTAAATGAAGGAAATAATTTTACATGCCTCATTCTACTGTTTTACATGCAATAGATATACATACATACTAGTGGTCAGCAACATTTTTGTGCAAAGGACCAGAATGACCCAACTCAGGTCCAAGATGGACCAGCAACAGTAGCTGGCTGTTGCTGCCACCATCACGCCATTGCACAGGCAAAACTCCCTGCCACCAAATGTTTCCAAGGCCCCTAACCTCCATGGATTATGTCGCAGTTCACAAGGAAGTCAAGCCTAATGAGTGAAGTCAGAAGTGAAGACCAGGAAGTGGATTGGGAGCAACTAAGGGCAACCCAAAGTCGAGCCTGAGGGGCAGGGGCCAAAGCCTGGAGTATGAAATGAAACCAGAAGACTAACCAGGAATTGACAGGCAGGAAGCAAACCAAAGTCATGCCGAAGATAAAATGCCAAGCTGGAGGTTTAATCAGGAAGTAAAGGTCAGGAAGCAAGCTGAGATCAAACTGAAGCTCCAAAAATGCTACGGCAAACAATTAATCAGGGAGTCAAAGAAGTTACCTGGTGAGGAGCTATGTAAGGATTGAGACGAGTAATTTGAGCATCAAGGCTTAGGTGCTGGAGGAGGTCCTTAAAAGTAAGTACAGACCCAGAGGGAAGTGGCTGGGGAGGCAGCTAGCCTTAATTAGTCATTACGTGTGGCTGACCCAGTTACAAAGACTGTAGGGCAGAAGCCTGACTGAGGCTTACAGTCAGAGCTGACCCATGTTACCAGGCAGGACCCTAAGGGCATGTTTACACATATCAGACCTCTACTCTGAGGTGTGCTAATTAGCATGTGTTGGAGCAGATTCAATTAATCAAGTCTGCTGGAGCGTGCAATTAGCATGCTCCAGCAACCTCCACATGACATATATTCAGCGGCTCTGTGCTTTAAAATGGTGCCAGCTCATCAAACAACCTTTAGTTAAAGTGCTCCCACCTCCATTTTAAAGTGCCGGACACTGAATACATATGATGTGGTGAGCACTTTGATTACAGCAGCCCTCACCCCAGCTCCATCCTGTACCATGTGTAAAGATGCCCTTACAGATTAGATCCAATGGCAGCCCTCAGGTTGTAGGTTGCAGATATTTGACAATGAACCAATGCATCGTGCACATATTCCAGAGGGTCACAAAACCTGCAAGGCCACAGAGAATGGAAAGAAAATTAGAATTGAGGTAGCTTTTAGGGTGGCAGTGCATGATTAAAAGAAGCAGAAGTATTGCTACTGTAATTTCACTGTTTCTCCTCTTTGCCTCAGTCTCCACATCAGGTTCCTATCCACAAGCAGATTTGTAATATAAGCAGAGATCAGTACTGTACCTTGTCCTGCAGAGTGTGTAGTACATATCCCAAAAAAGCATATCCCTTTATTTCCATAGCAGACCTACAAGAATATAGCAAGCCAGAATAACATCAGCAGAATGAAAGATAGGTCCTATCTATGACTCATTTATTTTTCTCCTTCTGTTGTTATGTTTAAGCCACTTTCAATTGCTTAAGAAAAGCCAAATGCTTTACCTTAAAATTAGTGTTAATTTATCTTCCTCAAAGCAAACAGGAGCCCAGAAAACTTGATAGTCACATTAGTAACCCTGTGATTTAGCTGATTGCTGAAAGAAAAGAACTGTTTCCCTCATTGCTTCAACAGTGAAAATAACTAAAGGGAAATATAGAGCGACAGGTAAAAACAAAAAAGTGTAGAAGTAAGAAAATTGTCACAAGAGAAAGACATGGAGAAAGATTTAAAGAGACAGAACTGACAACTAAGTTAATTATTTATTTGCAGTTCCACTCAAATGTGACCTGTTTCATTATCTCTCATTAAGCCTTGAACCTTGCTTAGGCATAACCTGCTGCACTACATGTCTTCACAACTCTGTTTTCATCCCAAAAGGTGTGCTGCTCCTTGATGTGACAGATTATTCACAAGCAGTTCCCTCTCTTTGTTTATTTTTCATTTTTGCACATCAATAATTTACTGTCATTTCAATCCCTCCGCAGAGTTAACTTTTATTAGTAGAATCAACTTTTGTTCCACAGATGGTTGCTCAATGAACAAGCCTCGTATTCCTGCAAATCAGAGATATACAGCTATGATATCAACCATTCTTAACACCAAATAGCCAACAGCATAACTGAGTTGGCTGACCAGGGCAACAGGCCCAGGTCAGCCACAGCAATAGCTGCTGCCCCACCAATAGCTGATCACACCACAGCAATCAGCACAGTGGCAGTCAGCATTGTCCTGTGCATCTCACCTGCCCTAGGCATGGAGCAGCCTGGCTATGCCTTTGTAAATAGCTATGTTTGAATAATGAACAACTATCTCAATGCACTTAAAGGGCTAAAATCATGCTAGTAATTCTGTATCTAAGAAGTGAGGCAACAATAGCTGTGGTTATTTGGTTCTGTGAATAGGTTTGAAAGAATTCAGAGATTTTGGCTGCTGACAGATGACACTTGGGGGGAGCTTTACCACAAGCATCAGCACATTAGGTCCACCTAGCTCTTCAGTGTCTGTATACATTGGGTGCAAAATCTGATTCAATCACCTATAAGATAAAAGCACCAAAAAAGCCCCACTGAAGCACCCAATCTATACAGACATTGAGTGAGCTGGATAAAACTAATATGGGTGTACCCTGGGTTTAGTGCAGGGGTGCATCAAGTTTAAAGAAAAGTGTCATTTTGTTTGCTGTCTGTAAACAGACTTACAGTTTAAGGTCTATTCAATCAAAAAATCCAAAGAATCCCCACTTCCAGTATTTCCAATAAAAATAAGTAAGCATTTAAAATTCACTCTCTACTGTCAAAATAATTCTGTTTGTTCCTACCATAGTTATGGATGAATTTAGACAGTTCTATCTGGAAACATAGTAAATTGCCAAAACAAAATACCTCTCAAGTTTTACAAACAGTGTTTCTTGGTTTTTAAGACACCAACTATAAAATCAATTTCCTCTTTTGGTAATGAAGCCTCTAACTCTATAAATAATTTAAAATAGGTACCATGTGGGAAACAATACTTTCCATCAGCAGCAAGATTGATTTCACTTTGTAGTATCTCTGCTCTCCAGAAATGGCCTTTTTTAGTTTAAATTTCAAAGTTATCCTAATAGAGCACAAGAGTTGGCAATGTGCAACACAGGTAACATCTGTAATTCTCAGATCTGATCCACAGTCATTAGTCAAAGTAAAAATTACATGAAAGCCAGCATTAAACATTTTTACATAATAGAGTTAAAGGAGATTTTGCAAGAAAACAATATTTTTAAAACCAAAAATTAATAAAGACCATCAGTATATCTTCAGTTTTAAACAAGAGCAAAAAGGGTAAAATGTACGTCAGCATTTTGGCAACCTTTTGCTCTCTTAGCCACAATCATTTAAGTTTATTTTACTCTGTTTCAGGGTCAAACACCTCTGACCAATGACTGTATACAAGATCTAGGTGCCATGTAGATCAGGTGTGATCAGACACTTGGGAAAATCATGAATTTTCTCTAACTGAATTAGGGTGACAGGTGAACTTAGAGTTGCCATGTTTTTTAAAGGCTAGACCAGTGGGGGGCAGCCTTTTTGGCAGAGCTGCCACAAATTAGCCACATGTCCTCCCCAAGTACTGCTCCAATCCTCATCCTCTGCTCAACCTGCTGGTCTGCTTTCTCCACCCAGCCACGTGAACCCTATCTGACCTACTGCTCTTTCTGCTTCATTCCCCCAGCTTCCTGCCTGCTTTACTACTTTACTTCTACTTCATTCCCTATCTGCTGCTGTGCTGCCTGTACCCTTCCCAAGCTGCCACATGCCACACACAGGGCTAACTGCCACTTGTGGCAGCTGTACCATAGGTTGGGCACCATAAATTAGACCATACCCTGAAAGATACCTTTCAGAGAGGAATCACCTTCACCAGTTCATTGCTTATCCCTTCTTATGGCAGGCATTCAGGAATGGGAAAAGGAAAAAGCTTATTTGTGCTAGCAACATACACAGTATGTTCCTTTGGTTATACTATCAATAGGTTTGCTCTACCTGAGAATGTCTGACTTGTAAGATAACCAAGCAGGTTTAAAAAATAAATCATATTATCTTGCTAATGTTAAATTACACTGCTCTTTATTAAACACAGAGAAGTATAACTATCACTCTGGTTATAGTATGCACTTATTCCTGCAAATGAAGAAAATTTAAAAAGTAACTTTAGTTTACCCACTTGGCTTTGGGATAATAGTCAAGGGTACTCTAATAGGTTAGGTATTTTTCTACTGATCAGAAAGGACTTTGATGTCCGAATGGTGTATGTGTTGTACAAACATGGTGGAATTCTGAAAGCAATAGGTTTCATTAAAATTGAAGCTATATGGATTGGATACCTATTCCATTACTGGATCAGAGAGGCTGATATTCTGTATGCATAGCTATTTTCTAAGAGCAGCTTTTACAACTTTGCAAATATAAAAACGTGTCCTTGGACAAAGTCAGACTGGAAGTTCTGTAATTCACATAATTTGTGCAACATACTACAGATTTTATTTCTGGACTAGTTTGCCTGTATGCAAAACACTGTAATTAGATTTTATTCAAAATCTGTAGATGACCATAATAAATCTTTTTAACTTTGGATGGGCTTTGGATCAGGTCATTATTATAAGACTTGCAGGAATTTTAAGACAACTCAACAAGGTAAACCTCATAAATGTTACAAACTTGTTCTGAGTATCTCTAAATAGCCTAACAAATATGAACATTGATTACATTTTTACCTGAAATGTTGATTAGTGCTCCTCATTTATGTCTTATTCCACAAAATCCACAATCTCCAAATGGCTTTAAAAATCAGGGTATTAAAAAAATCTTACAGTTTACTTGTCCTTCTAGTGTGTCTACACCACGTTTGACCATTTTGTTATACATGCTTGTGCTCATTTTATACTTCGTTAGATCTTTCATTGTACATGCACTTTCAAGCATTGATAACTTGTTCATACTATAAGTATTGACATAATAGTGCTAGGTCCCAGCTGAAGGACCAAATCCTGGTCTTTCACACAATGCCTAGAAATAGAAAGTTTGTGTGTAGGAATTATAATTTCTCCTGGACAACCCAGCAGAAAGGTGGATGGCAGAAGAGGAATAAGTTCTCCATAGTTGGCATTTTGGTTCAGCTGATCTATGACACAAAATAATTTATCACCTTTCTCACCTTCCAAGTATATATCACTGTCCTATGTGAAGAGTGCAGCTGCATGGCAGAAAGCAGATTACAGGCTTCATATAGTTGTGGGTGCCTATCTTTTGGACACAGATAACTTTGGTTTTCATTTAGACCAATGTGTCTTTATACTGTCAGAGTAAATTGTAGTGTTATGAGTATCCAGGCCTATTTTATTGTTGTAGTTTTGGTCTTGTGAATCCTTGCAATTGTAGACGTAAGTAAGGATATTAAACTTTGATACTAATGTAAAGTCTTCTTACGGTGAAGTTACATGTTATACTTAGATTGTACCAAGTCCATGGAATGTTAAGCAGTATTAAAAGTAGAATATGCTATGAGCAGTCACACATTAAGTGTTACTACAGTTTCTTGCCTGCACAGCACTGACTTGCCACTACAGTGTTGACAAGCACATGAAAACCTCTTACCCCGCTCGGGGGGGGGGGGGGGAAAAAAAAGGGGG